TGAAGGTTAGTATTTTGTTGTCTATAGTAATTGACATCCTGCTGTAGCTAAACTATCTGATTATTGTTATTATCTCGTTGAGTGATAATACTATCTATATCCTGATATGCAGACTGATAATTATGCCAAACAGTATTTAAGGAATCTCTAATACCATTTATAATATTTATAGGATTATTTAATGGTATACTATCTCTAAGATGTTTTTCAATATGATACAAGTCTTATTTAATTTGTATAAAAAGGTCAAGATTCACCATATCTATATCTTTCTCTTCTGAATTATATAAACTTGGAGAGCTTCTTCGAGAAGAAATAACTTTGAATCTATATCTTAGATTTTGAACCTGCTCTTCCGATTCTTGTAATTGCTTCTCTATATTATCAATATAGGATATCTTATCTCAGATTTCCTTTTTAACTTGATATAAGCTTCTTTTAAGAGATAATATTTCTGATCTCAACTCAGCCTTTTCTTTCTCCGAAATATTCTCGAGACATTCCAGTTCTTTATTGAGAGATTGAATTTTATTCTCATACTGGATATATTTACGTTTCAGATCCTTTATATATTTCTCATTCAATTTATTGATTGAAACTTTATTAGATAACTCATCTCTTAAAGCTTGATTCACCTGCTTCAATTCCAATTTCCAATCAGAGCTTGATCTATGAGATATTCGATTAGGATGTGGTTGACGAAATGCCATAGCTATTTTTTACGGCATAATATATTGATATAAAGTAAAGATATAGCCAAAATAAGTATACCTACTATATATATAGATCCATATGCTAAGGTAGTTATAGTTTGTCATGCACTCTATTATAATATTCCCAGATTTTATCTGAATGTGAAAGCTCTACAAAAGGTGTGCAAAAAAGAAGGGTATGGTCATTTCTGACTTAAAGATATAACAAAATGATTAGAAAATCAGTATGATTACCAAATATATCATCATCCACCAAAGATTAAGGCTCAGACTAGCTTTTCTAAATGTCAAATTCCTAATAAATTACACCAATGTGATCTATTACCTCATGTTTATGATGATCAGAAAAAGGAGAAAGTGTATTTACATACCTTGGTGCTGATAGACATGGTGACAAGATTTAAATATGCAGTAGCATTAACATCAAAGAATAGTTTAGAAGTTTGGAATGTGATTGAAAAAATATATAATGATCCCAAAAATCCTCTTACATAGCTGGCATTGTTGATGATAGATGATGCAGGGGAGTTCAAAGAAACATTCTCTCGAGAGATAGAATGTTATAATATTCTTATAAGAGTTATAGATCTTTATAATTTTGAAAGCTTAGTGTTAGTAAAAAAATTCAAACAAGATTTGACAAAACTTATATATAAAATTCAATATGCTATAGAAGAAAAACTCAAAGAAGGTGAATACTTAAAATTATGGAAAAAGATACTTCAGAAAATTATTAACTATATGAATAATAATAAAACGCGATTAATCAGTATGAGTCCTAACCATGCTATGACATTATAGGAAGTGATTCCCAAAGTAACTATCAAACCTAAAAGACCCATTAAGAAAGATGAACTGTGATTATAAAAAGGAATAACTGTAAGATATTTATTAAAACCAGATGAGTTAGAAGGAGGACACGTTCATAGGAAAACTGATCCATACTTCTCATTGTGTATTTATCAAATTAAAAAGATTATTGTTAGAAGGAATTCATCACAGCCAGTCTTATACTATCTCAAAGATGAGCCTATTGAATCTACTTGGGATATAACTCACATTGACCATTCAAGTGAGAAGAACTCCAAGTAATAGAAAATCCTGAAGAAGTCAAATATCCATCTGATAATTTTATATGAAAATATCACCCTTCTGGATCGATACATTTTATTCATATTTCTAGTAGTGAATTTGACAGGGTCTAATAATATGCCAAGAAATATAATAGAAGTATTTTAGCTAAAACTGGTCGAATTAATAATCAGAATAGTAAACATCAATTTGAGTATCCATATCCATTAATAGCTACGAAGTTTGAATAGTATCTCTTATGTCATCACACTACTAAGAGAAATGTAAGATATATTTTTGAAGATCTATTAGGTAAGAAATTTCTATCATATAAACTGTCATTTTTGAATGAGATACAATTAGACAGGTATAATGAAGAGCTAAAATTAGCATTCGAATTTTATTGGGCTTAGCATTTTTCTGAGAATCCAATATTCCATAAATGAGACAAGATAGACTTAGATAGTTAACAGATGCGTAATCAAAAAAAATGGAATATATGCAAGGAGCAAGGTATAGATCTCATTGAAATTTCTTACTCTGCTAATTTATATGAATTTATTTGAAACATTTTAATTGAGAAAGATTATTTATAGGATAAAAATTAAATCTGTAAGTGTTTATCTTAGATGTGAATAAAGGTAAAACTCTAAATACTTATCTTGTTCAATTAATATTTTTCAGATATAATAATTAGTGACTTATCCGATCAGAATGAAAATAGAAAAGCTCGACCCTGTTGAAAGAATAGTTTTGAATATTGATGAATACAAAAATATAGAGAGATTTAATGGCCTTAATAGTACATCTCAATGGTCATTCAATTTATTAATTAGTGGACAAACAAGATCAGGAAAAACTAACAAAGTTATCAACCTTTTACTTGGAAATAAAATGTATCAATTGTTTAGTAGGAAAAAAGGTGGAATGAGATATATTAAAAATGATGATTTGGTTTTGATCAGTCATCAAATTAATGAGTCCAAGTATAAATATCTCTGAGATTATTATAAAATAATTGCAAATAGCTCCAAACCATATCGTGAAGATGTTACATTCCAAGCAATGAAACCTGATAAAATGCCAAAGATTAATGACTTTTCTTCTGAGAGAGGAATAGTAGTTATATTCGAAGATGTATATACCAAACCTAAAAAAATCCAGAAAAAAATTACGTATTATTTTGCTGAAGGGAAGCATCATAATATTTTTAGCATATATATAATACAATCTTTCTTTGACTGTTCCAAATTAATAAAAAACAATCTTAATTATATAGTCCTCTTTAATGGTAGTGGTATATATGATAAGCTGGTTAATATTGTCTGATGATATACAAAAAAATGGTGTAATGTTGTCGATATACTTGATAAAAATTTGCAAGATAGAGATTTTATTGTTATTAATTTAACTAGAGCAAAAGAAAACTCTCTATATCTTTGCAAAGGATGAGACCAACCTCTTGATCTTTCTAATAAGTAGTGTAATTTATGATAATGAGATAATAATTATTTTTTTTATTATTTATTAATACAGTAATATAAATACATCCCACCCACTGCTTTTTGATAAGATGATTATAGCCAGTCAATTTGGAATCAGGACAGATGTTTTTGGTATCTTATTTGCTACTATTTTTAAATGAAATAGCTATCAGTATCCAGCCTGATTGAAGTTGGAGTAGATGTTGAAAAAATAAATAAATTCTATAGTTTATTTGTATCAAGGGGTTTTTTGTGTCGGGTAAAATAACTATATATAAAAACTAAAGTAAAAAATGTTACCAGCCCTCGGAGATAATGAAATAAAGTTTATTTTAAATAGATATATTAATTATATAAATAGATATGTATATTTATATTTCTAATTGTTGAAGACAATTACTAAATCTATATCATAATTGTTTCTTTTTACAATTTATCTAACCATATAGAATAATATATTCCTGATATATACTAATTTCAAATTCAGCTTTATACGGATATTTATTATATTTTTTTATATACTCAGCATATTCCTTATTAAGATGTATTTTTAATTGATCTAGGGAATTTGGGTTTTTTATTTTTTGTGGAGTTATGTCTAAAAACTTTTTATTATCTGAAGTATTATCATTCGGTAAGTTATTCTATGCAAGTCATGTATTTGATGACTCTTTTTCTTGAAATCAGTGAAATGCTCTTTGTATAATTCTTGTGTATTTATCTCAAGATTTAGGTTTATCACACTTATGATCACAATATTTCTGCATCAAATTATCTGGCTTGATAATTTTAATATACCTTTTTCTGATAAAATAGAATGATTTCTTTGATTTTACATTATCAATATATATAAGTTTCATACAATTTAAACATATCACTACATTGGATTTATAGATTCTAGACCTGTAGTAATCATGATTCATTAGCTTAGAATTCTCAAATTCATCAAATAAATAATATACATGATATACACTTCTTTTCAGAAATCAACTCTTGTAAAGAAACTCTGACCTGAATAGCCTATTATCGTAGAGTTTCATCAGGTCGAATAACTGATAAAGTATCATATCATCTTTCAGTCTCATAAAGATCATTAAAGTATCATTGATAATTATTAATTTCATAATAATTGTAGATATATGACTTTACATATTTTCTATCATATCCAGGACAATTATTAATGAGCTTAATTGATTTAGCTTTTTTATCAATAATAGTTGTAATAATAAGACCTGACATAATTAGTAATTTATATCGAATTTAGAAATTTGGATCTATTAGTTTTGATTCTTTATAGTATAAGAATATATGATTCATTTTTAGTGCGGATCTCAAAGAGTCTTCATAGGACCTGGAGTTATTAGATGAGTTGTGTATATTCATCATATTTGCGAGTGATATAATGATGAGAATGGGAGAGATCTATATAAATCTAAAGATTCACCCCTTTGAGATGATCGTTACATATATATTAATTAATTTTCCGGTGTGACTTAATACTCTATTATATGCTAGCGAAACAAAAGACAACTTAGCATACAATAATTAAAAGATCAGGTACTAATCATATCTTTAATTTTTTTTAAAAATAAATATATTGAGAGTTAGAGGTCAGCTAAGTAAAATATAGAAAAGCAGAATTTCAAGGGAGGAAATCTGCCAAGCTCTAATCCATATGATGACAGTTCCTTTTCTGCTACTTACTATCTAGATTATTTGTTTTACTATCAATCTATAAACCAATTTGATCTAAAGTACTAATATAATCATTCTTCTTTTTAATATTTCTCTCATAAAATTCTTGTACCATTGCCTTCTTAATATTTTCTTCCAATAAACAAATATCTATAGCTACAGAAAGACACATCTCCTCCAAAGTATAATTATTTTTGGTCATGATCCAATTAAAAATTTGCTTAAATTGATTCCAGATGGTCAAACTGATACCTGTAAATGTTAATTGTCCCAAGCTTGCAGAAGAATGATTTGAAGCTTGACCTGCAGAATAATTTGAAGCTTGATCTGCAGAATAATTTGAAGCTTAATCTGTAGAATAATTAGAAGCTTGACTCATCACGCTTTATTAATTGAATTTAATCTCTTCAGTTCTTAGAATTATCATATAACGTTGATTTATTTCACTTTGAAGAGTTATGATAGAGGTATTGATTGATTTGAATTTGGTTGCAACTCTATCAAAATTGTTATGATAGTTTTGAAGAACTTATTTGATCTCATCAAGTCTCACAATAGAAATATTAAGTATTATCAAGATTCTTTATATCTCTGCTGTAAAGTTTTCATTACGTGAGGTGAGTTCAGCATTAAATTTGGCATCACGATTAGCAAGAATTTTATTAAATATCATATCACGTACAGAAGAATCAGAATTATACTTGATGTCGATATCTTTTTTGATGATACGTGAAAAATAAAATATGGTACCAATGAGCAAGTAAATGGAGATTTTCTCGATAAATATCGATAGGCCTGTGAAATCCAAAAATGGAGTGATCCCTGAAATAGCAAGTGATATTATCTATAAGTAGAAATTGGTTGTATTAGCATACATACATGAATGTAGGGGAGTGTCATAGTATATAAACAAATAAACAAACCTTAATCATTAGAAATTAGATATTATTTCAAGTATATGAATCTTTTTATTTATCATGGGTAAGATTTATTAGCAGAGCAAGCAAAGTGCTAAAAATTGTTAAATATTTTATTCTCCAAAATCACTAATTATTATAATAAAGGAGTAAAGGGGTCTCAGATATTTTTTCTTTGCCTTTTTATATAAAAAAATTACAAATCAGAATTTATTTATAGACTTGGATGGGAAAGGACCAGAAATTACCAGAACTTTTTATTACAAAGCAGGTCTATAGAGACGACTTAGGTACATTTTTTCAAATAAGAGTCATAGGTACCCCCATGCTTTACCTGTCAATTAGATCAATAATTGTCTACTCTTACCTTATTGACATTAATAATCAGACATCTATTACTCGTATCACTAACTTCAACAATTATTATAAATTAATTGATCTTTTAACTAACATAATTAATTTCTTTTTATAATAGATTTGTCTTCAATCTGTGTTCTTTAATAACAGAAGTACCAAAAAGTATCTCCCAGATTTGCTGATTACTAATGCGTAACTTGCTAATTATTGGGGTACTGATTGATTACATAACACAAATATTTGATCAACATATTATATACTATATCACAGAATAAAATTGAAAGTCATGGAACTTTTCATGCATGATGTAATCGTATAATCTTTTGACTAATACAAAAGATCAGATTTAAATATTTTCTTTATAAAGAATGCTTTCAGAAAGAAAAAAATACAGATGCTTTTAGAAGAAGAGTATAGTTTTGTCTTTATTTATAATTATTTTTATCCCAATTTTATATTTGCTAAATTTTATATAGAAATAGAGTAGGATTATAAATACCTTAGTTGGAAGGATTTTGATATTGAATATTTAGAGAATAATTATGACAAAGTCAGAAAAGTACGCTTCACTTCATGATTCAGTTATATAATTAACGCAAATAGTGGGCGATATAGTTCTATAAGTGACATGTTTCAAATATATAAGCTGGCTTGTGAGAAAGCTTTATGTTATTCTGCCAAATCTAGTAGCATTTTATGAGATACTTATGAAGGATTTTTCAAGATTTCTGATGTATATATTATTTTTTATTCTATCTATAGTATTTTATATGATGATATTCTATCTATTTTGAGAATTAATTTCACATCACCTCCTCACACCTGAGATTTGGGTCCTGATGGTCATTTATGATGTATGAAGAAATTAGAGATCTGATTAAATAAGAGTGTTGAATAATAAGCAGAATATAGAATTTTTGTATATTGACTCCTCTATTTTTATAGAATAAGTAAAGAACGTAATATATATCAACAGTAGAGGCTATGGAATCAATGGTTAACTGAACTATTATAATTCTGTTTTAGAAAAACTTATTACTGATACTAATATATTTTATACATTTCAGATTTCTCTTAAATTCGTAAGTCCAACAGAGGAGAATCTTGTCTTTTTAAACAAGAAAAAAATTGGAAAATGATTGGTAACATATTTGTATTATAGGATTTATGGTTTTTTTTTGCTTGTTCTTACTCAATACTTTTGTAGAATGATTTAATCTGAAATGAGACATCCTGTTCGTTGCTATTATATGAGTTGAGGGATCTCTTTGAATCCTTCAATATTAGCAATATTGAATAGAATGATCTACTCAGCTTTGGTTATATTATTGATCAAAACTCAGATATAATTTTTGGAAAGTTGCCAGAAGAACAAAAGAAAAATTTGAGAGAAATTATAAATTTGACATATGATCAATACGAAACAAGCTCCGTTATTTCTGACTTGGTTAAAGTTCTTTTAGAAAAATCAAAGAGCTTGAATAAAAGAGAAATGATAGTTTCACTCTCACCTATACCAGCAGATTTCCAAGGAAATGATGAGGAGTTTGAAGATATATGTGTGATGCATAGGATTATAGACTCAGTATAGGTAATTGAGCTTCTCTGTCTTGATAATTAACCAATTTCTAATACTCTTATTCTTATAACTAACATATCTGGTGCTATTTTAATGATAAAAACAAGGCTGAATACACTGAGGGGACATATATCATCTGCATAATGTCCAACTTTCTTGATTTACTGTTTTGCTACAAAAATATCAAACTTAAAATCATTTGGTAAAGTTTTAGATAATGTGTAAAATATGAATTTTTACCAGAGGCGGTCACATAATGACTATAATAAGTTTTACATACATCATAACAGGACCAAAGAAGTCTTGGAAATATCTCAATGTTAGATGGATAATTCTGGAGAAATCAGAATTGGACACAAGCCTGATTTTCATGTGAAATCTTCACTGATTACTGATGAAGTGGAAATCTGTTTTATGGAGATCTCACGTATTCTTCTGACTGATAAAAAGATCTGTGATGATTGTGATAAGTTGATCAAGCTTATGAAAGATGCTCATATACGATTACTGAGAAAATTTACTAGAGGAAGAGTTGGAAATATAAAGGAAATAGAAGAAGATCTTAACAGGGTGCCAGTTTTTGGTATCCAAGTTGCTGGTATGTAATATCACAATTATTTTTTTTTCACTCAAAACTAATCATTTCTACTTTAGGAGGAACCATGACATGTTGGATTATGACTATGCTATTTGGAGCCTTTTACTTTATTCAACATCTTGATTCAGTACAAATTCCTATGAATCGAGACCAATCTTCACTTGCCAGATTTATGGATGAATTATGGAAGTTAAGGGTAAGGCTATCGAATGTGGGAAGTTGAATAAACAAACTCCTGATTAATTAATAGAATTATTTGTAGACATCTCTATGAAACCATATTCACATTCTTACTAAAATTGTAGAAAAAATTGATGTGTTCTTATATAATATAGCTTTTTATTCATCACAAGCTCGAGAAGATGTGCCCCTTTATGATGGTGAGTTAGTAATATCACAATCACCATAACAAGATCTCACTGATCTGGATATTAAAAAAGACAGTGGACTCTCTCTACCATTAGATTTTCACCTAATAATAGATAAGTATGGAGATATTGTATAAATTAACATGTATTTTTATTGTATTGGTCATGGCTTTGCTAATAAAGAATTCGAGTTGAGAATATTATATATTATATTGATATTTTCATGTGATATATCTTGTATTGAGATAAAAAAGTTTATACGTTAATTTTTCTATATCTTGGTATGAGCTTTGCTCTTAATATGATGCATAGAACATAATTGAGTATCGAGTTGTACATTCCCCAAATAAATTATATAATGACTTAGATATAGAATGACATATTATCAATAAACCAGCTATCTTTCTATTGCTTAGCTATGTATGTTCTGTAAACTTCTATGTTGATTCCAATATGGTCTGATTGGTTAATAATTTTCCAGTTTTTTAATTATTCTGATTAGATGAATCATACCAGAAATTAGCAGGAGATTATTAGGTAACTGTCGTATATTCTTCGTAAAAAGAGATCTGAAGATACAGATTTGTAACTCCCAGAAATTTCACATAAATACTTGCAAGGGAAAATCGTAAAAATATACAAATTATTTGAAAACTTAGATATAGATAAGATCAAGTATATCATAACTTATAGTGCTAATTCTATCTTGGAGTTAACTAATGATAAAATTAAAGAAATCATAGATAGTTTCTTCAAGCAGAAAGATGAATCCCCAATTTCTGAAAATTCATCCAGAGCTTCCTGTTAAAATCAAGAAGATACTATAAGTGAGGATAACAAATCTCTATCAAATACTGAGGTAAGCATACCTACTGAATCTCAAATTTCTGATTCTTCTGGCTCTGAATCAACCCAAGAAAATAATCAAGTTGAAACAAAGGCTCGAAACTTTGCTTCCTCAAAATTACTGGAAGCTAAAGTAAGTATATCTACATCTAGTCACCTTGTGTCTGCCTCTGATAATAAATCTCGACCTTCAATCTCTATTTTACTCAATGATCCAGAAGAGAAATGAAAGTCTATTATTGATAAAGTACTAAAGCAGTTCTCTTATTTATCTTCAAAGTATAGCAAGCCCGAAAGGGCGACCCTAAAGGGTCATAAAAATTATGATTATTTTGATTTTAATAGTTCAGTATCCTGCCCTATATGCAATAAAGACCATAAAAAAGAAAATATAAGAGATAATATAAAAGATGAATAGGGTAGTGGTAATTATATCAATATAAGAACTTATCATCTGCAATATTGTGAGGCCTATCAAAATTCAATCCAAATAGTAATAGTGAAAGCGTAGAGCAATAAGTATGTAGAATAAATATGAGATCACAGGCTTTTTATTTGACATATTTTATAAGATACGGAGTGTTATTTCTCTGAAATACTTCTATATCGATCCTACTTATAATGTGATTGATTGATAAATTTCCAACCATTAACAGTTTTTAATTATTCTGATTGGATGAATCACTACTCTAGAGAATAGGTCCTATTATGAAACTTATTTTTACGATATTTTCAGATAGAAGAAATAATCTTTTTCTTTTTAACATGAACATGATTCTTTCAGGAGTTTATCTGATCAAGATCATACCAGTCTGAATCCATAGATTCTGAATCAGAGCTGGATGAATTAGTCTCTGTCTCAGATTTATTGTAAAATATTTCATGATATTTCTTTCATTGCTTATTATTACAAAACAATGATGATGCAGAGCATTAAATCTCTGATTTCTCTTCAAGTCTATCTTCGATATTTGAGAGAATTTTGTTAATTATATTTATAACCTCCTCTTGAGCTAGATCAGGTTTAGATTCTGTTGATTTAGGGACAAAGTCCCATTGCTTTGCAATAGATAAGTTATTTTTAGTGAAGCTGGCTTTATGGCTTGAAGAGTTATCTGTAGGTCTGCTATCTTCTTTAATTAATGAGATACTTATACCATCTATCTTAATTTTAGCATAGTGCTTATAATTTTCCAGAGAAAATCCAAAGCTAATTTTTGCTTCACGTATCCATATCTAATTCCATCCTAGCACCAAATTAAATGATGGATTTTTGCGAATTTGAAAATCTATTACTTTGGTACCATCTAAGCTTCGTCACTTTTCTTTATACTAAAATTGCAAATCTAAGCATTTTATTTCTTTGCCTATCAAATCATCACCGGATATATCTTCTAATCCATAATCTTCTTCAAGCTTATTATATAAGCGCTTGCTAATAGTATTAGATTTAGATATTGTATTGATTAATGCTTTTACTGGAATTTTTCCCTTTATGAGTGATTCTATGAAAATCATGTCAAATATTATTTAATAATGTATAATATAACTGAAAAAATAACTCAGTAAATAATTAACCATTCTCCACTGCTAAATAAAATTATTTGTAATCCACATTGGAGGATTCTCTCTAAGATAATTAATAATTGCAGAAATAAGATCTGTTTCATCTGATATATAACTCAAATAGTAGTCTCTAAAGACCCTGGTTATAGCTATCCTATTTTGTTGACCAGTAAAGATTGGAATAAGTATAGATAGATCAGAATCTGAGAATTCATTATCAGAATAAACTGGATGTTTAATTTTAATTTTTGAATTAAGTTTCTTTATCACTTCTTCACTAATCCCTTTACATCCCTTCAAACTAAGATATTTCAAATTAGTACAATTGCGGGCTATTTTCTCAAGAGCTTTATTACTAATTGAATAATTGCCAAACTCAATATGTTTAAGTTTTGGACAAGAATGTGATATTTCAGTGATACATTAATTAGTGAGATATATACATGAATTAAGACTCAGATATAATAGCTTTGGGTAATATCTTACAATTTCTATAATTGATATGTTAGAAAAACCCTTACTTTGATCAAGAATGAGAGTGCGTATATCTGGATATGAGCGTAAAATCATACTAATTAATGCATCTGAGATTTTTAAATCTTTCAATTTGAAATATAATATCATTGAATAATAGAGAGATTTTGTCTTTTCACACATAACTTTTTTGAATTTCAATAATTACCAATAAATAGTTTGAGGTTTCTTTTGGCCATACGGATCTTTCTGATAATCTTCATTAAAAAACTCAATATGACGCTATAGAATAAGAGTATCGCAGTGATACCAAAACCGATTAACAAATAAAGTGGGGTAGAGGGATCGATCAATTTCTAAATAATATAAAATCTGTTCTAGTAATTCTGGTAAATCAAAAATATTTAGACTCTTTAGATTATTGCTCCGTAATAGTTACGTCATTTTCAAGTAATATATTATTATATATCTTTAATCAAAAAAATATTTCATGCCTTATGATTATATAAAATCAGATATGTTAATGTATACCAGAAATACTATATGTAACTCTATTATAAACTCTGATAATTAACTTTACGTTTTACTTTACGCTTTAGAATAAGGCATTTCCTTATATCTTTAGTCTTATGTATAGCTTCTATTTCCGAACTAGATGTGGAAGAACTATCTAAATTGCTGTCTGAAGTAATCAAATTGGAAGTATCTAAATCAGAAGATGTAGAGATATTTAATCTATGGAACAGTGAATCTTTCAATCTCCCAGAAAGTATTTTGTAAAAATCATGAATATCTCTTTTATTAACAGATATATTAACCCTTGACTTCTTTTTAGCTTTAGTTGTATTAACTTTCTAACTGAGGTTCTTAATGCGTAAGATGGTTCTTACAAAAGTATTTTTTGTATCTGTTATTATTTCCAGTAAATACATCTGGATTCCATGGTTATTGTGTCCATAAAACTAATTATTACCAAGCAGAATATAATTAGACATCTTGGGGTCATATTTTTCTATAAGTACTTTAGTCGGAATTGTGATAGATTCATAATTACTAAGGCAGTTATTATTTATTACATTAGAAGTAAAGGTAATTGAAATTATGGCCAATCCAAGTGGAGCTGTGGTTTCTTCTCTGACGAATTTACTATCTTTTTCTTCAGAAGTCAACTTTCTGCTAATTTTGCCACTGATTTTCTTAAGAAGTTTATCAGTACACATAGAGATCTCCAAAAATAATAGTTCAAGATGACAATTAACTTTCTGCTTCCCTACTTTAGCTTTAACTATCTTTACTTTTATGGTAAGTTATATTATGTAATATATATATTCAACTGAAAAAAAATAACTAATAATTACTAATTGCAAAAATAAAATCAGTTTCATCTGGGTCTGAATCGTCTAGCCACAAAGTGACTGCCTTCAGTAATGATGATGAAGATTTTACTATAGATGTGGTAAAAGTAAAGAAGTATGATTAATTTTGATCATCATAGAGATGAAATAATCTTGCTTATTCATAAGAAACTCCTCTTTTTCTATAATTAACTATAACGTAATTTTGTATAGGTGAAGTATGATTATCTGGATTATAATATAGACATTCTCCAGCAATGGTATAGGTGTGGGCTGGATTCTTAGCTTTATGTACTACTGCATCATAAACTGCTCCTAATTTACATAAATATTTAGGAATTAAATTATAATCTTTTAAGAATTTATTGAACTATTTAACTTCTGGCTTACCTGGATCACCCATTCATCTAGATGATATAGCATGCTGAATTCAAGTGAGTAGTTCTTTAGCCCGTTCTTGATTCTTTTCCATAGATCTAAATTTTCTAGGAATATCTGGCTGACCTCGATTTTTCATATATCCCATTACTCTAGCATCTGTAATACGTAAAGTTTTAAGTTTAGCAGGTCAAATACAAAGCATTATCATAATTTCTGTGAGGGCTTGTAAATCAGGTGAAGTTTTTAAATCATACCTATCTAATCTTTCTTTGACCAATTCTAATATAAATTTATCTGGATAATTAATACATTTAGTTTCAGCCTTTTTCTGATTGACACTTTGGATTTTGTTAGTATCTTCTGTAATATTTAGAAATTTCATAGCCTCGATTATCTCAAGTAATGCATTAAGATTCCTTAATTCTCTATGAAGAAAAATGAGACGTGATGAGCTAATATTAGCATTTTTTGCTGATAGAGCTAAGGCATAAGCTTCAGCTCTTACATCTCTAATACTAAGTTTATCCTGTAAAATCCATTGCACCATATCTCTAATAGTTTCTTCCTCTATTCCTTTCGAGAGTTTGTTGGAAATCATAATATTTACGTTTTTATTTGAGGTAGTTACACTGTGACTACTTCTGTTTTTCTGGATCAAGAGGTGATGTAAGTCACTTTGCAAAGCAAATAAGATATTCACTTGATCTTCACTAAAGTCATATCTATTCTGTAAGATTCATTTAGTTATTTCTCTGATAATCTTTTCTTCCAAATCTTTTGGAGACAAAGCTATAGCTATTTTGTAACTGCACTTGATAACATTTATAATCTTGGTCTTACTATCTCTTTGATTAGATATTAATATACTTATCTGATCACTGCTAAATTTAAAACCCTCTCGAAGACGTTATCGACCTTAATTCCATTTTCTATCATTAGTAAGGTTTTCAAGAAATTCTGAGATGTATTTACTAAGCTCAGATATACTCATCTCGTTGTTGAGATTGTATTTTTTAATGATTTTAATTACAATAGCTGACATGATCTAATATTAAGTTAGATTATGAATAATTCTTTAGGTTATTTACACTATAAAAAATATTTTTTCAAATCAAAATTAATTATCTGCAGATAGCTATATCCAAAAATTGAATGGGTCATAGTTATTATAATTTTATCAGAAAATAGATATGAACAAGACACAGAATAGATTAAAAGTTTTAATCTATATATGCCAAGTATATGATACATGTCAATACCTTGGATCAGATTTGTCAATTTGAAAGTTACTAATATATAGGATATAACAAAAAAAATTTATAGCTTCAAGTTGTGATGACTCAGGCTATATTAACATCATTTGGTACTAGATAACATGTTTTATTTTTTGTTATCTTCGATAATTGCTTTGTTAATATACTTCTCAAATGGTAATGGATAAATCAAAAGTCTGTCTTCTTCCCAAAGTACATATCTATTACTTATTAATTTATTATATATTAGTCCATTAATTGTAATTATATGATTTATTTTGGGATTATAGATTCTTAGCTTTCTTTAATGATTAGTCAATTTGAATAATTACTCAGCAGTAATCATTTTTTTAGTATATTCTGGCTCTTTGATGTATAATTTATACATTTTTGTGTAGTATATATGTATATGTGATATATAGTATCAATATATGCTCAATCATATTATTACAATATAGTTTGGAAAAGTTTAAATTGATTTTTATATACTATACATGAAAATATGAGTAAAAAATATGGTAGTATTTATACAGAGTTTTATGGAATGAGAGATTATAAGTAATATTTTGAATACTGTCTCTAACATATCATATATCATTGTAATCTGAAAAGATTTAAATTGGTTTTATATTAAATATATTCACATAAAAAGTGAAATGGATTTTATACGTTATATATTAAAATACTCTGAATAAGAAATTTAACCTATCAATATATTAAAAGAGAGAGTTCAGAGCATTCAATCTGTTTATATATTAAAAGAGATAGTTCAATTTGTGAAAAAGGTTATTGGCAGGACATAGGATGTTTATTGCACTGGAAATTATATGATATGAATATAGCAAAATTTTCTTGTGGGATCTGTGAAAAACTAACAATTTCTGGAATGGGATATTGTCTTAAACACATAAAGAGGGTTTATTTTCGAAATTGGTATGAGAAATAAAAGGTGCAAAGAATAGAAGCTGATGCGTAATTATACTCACTTTTGCCAAAGGTAATCACTATATAACTATAAATATCAATTTTAAGCATCACAAAAATGGTCTTTGTAATGAATTTTTTTTATGCCATGGTATAAGTTCCGCTCTACAAGTATCAATTTTAAGCATCACAAAAACTCCCTTTGTAAAATATGTCACAGACCATTACTAAATAGATACATATATTAACAAATATCAAATAGGTTCTGAGTATCCTGTGAGATAGAATTGGGAGAAGTTTCTATTTCATCAGGTGAGAGTTTATTATACCCATATCATCAATCTTCTCCATTATTCCAATTCTCACCTGTCTGATATGGTGGTAACTCAGGTATATATACATAGACATATATACTATCAAATACTCTATCTAGATAATAATGTGTATGCTTATTATTTGTACCTTTGAGCTTCAAACCATAAGTTGCATAAAGTGCTGAATTTAATAAACCAAGTTTTGCTCTAAGAGTTTTTAATCCAGATTTTTTGGTATGTTGAAATGCATCTGTATTATCAAAAACCTGAGCCATTTTTGATACTAAATTTTGGAGGTATTGTATTGATTCTGATAAGTTTAAGTATATTTTAATATCATTAACTTTATATCTATTTTGATCATCAATATCTTTAACCGGTATACAAGTCTTTATTAATTTCAGACAGATTCGATATTTTTTAGCTTTAGTAACGGTTGTGAGCCTATCATTTCTATAATCTTCATGGGTAATTACCTCAACTACCATCTTATTGTTAGTGCTGGCATCTCACAGTTTTTAGAGATTTCTAAACTAGCGCATATGATTATAATTTCCAAACTCTGAGATAAATTCTTCAGTTAAAGACTCAGATGCTATATTATAGTAATTTACAATATGGTGCTGGTCTAATGCTCGTATTTCTTCTAAAGTTTTCTTTGATTTATTCTCTAGAATCTTAGCCATTTCATGATTAATAATATTAGCATTTGCGATATTTGAAATTCCCTCTGCTTTAATAACTGAAGAACACGCTTTTATTATTTCAGTTAATAATATTGTACCATTTTTGGATTTAGACAATGCTACTGATTCTAATATATTGATTCTTATTCCTACTTTTCGAAGAAAATTAACCATTTTCCATCTAAACAAATAACAAGATTGGAATTTTTCCAATATATGGACAATCCATAATCAGACTGTTGGAATATCTCTATTTCAGATAATGGATTCTACATCTAGAAATATTCTTCTATTCTGAAGTTCTTGGGGGAGGTATTCACACTTAGCTTTTAATAGCCAGTTTAATAATCCTTCTTCTGTAATTGGAAAATTTAACGATCTTTGTTCAATGTAATATGTGTATTCTTTAATATATCTCATATGAAATAATATCTGGTTTGTCCCAGCATTTATTTCTATATAACTTTTGAAAAGACAAAATGCCCACTCAAACTTGAGGTTAGTATATGAGACTCCTATTTTTAATATACTAGTGTATGCTACTATATCTACATCTTTCCATGCTTTCTCAACATTACTAAAGTCCCACATTTTTTCAACTGGATCAGAATTACCATGATACTCCTTGATACGTAATTCTGGAAAATCAGTTTTAAGAGTATAAATAATCTCTTGTATATCCTTTCTAAGATGGCATATAACTAATACACTCTTTCACTTCTTGGATTTCAATATAAACATTTTTCTAGCCTAATTCCAGAGTTCTAATAATAAAGTTTCTTTGTTAGGAGTCAAATGGAACAATTTACCTTTCTGGGATTGATAAGTATTATGGATAACTGAAAATTGCTTACCTCTTTGAAGTGATTTGATCTATTCTATATTAAGATCAGTAAGGTCATTATCCATAACAATAATATGTCTCACTTCTTGAATTAGCTTATGTAAATGCTTCCTTGACCATCCTGCTAAATGAGTGTATGCTTGACTATTCACAAATACTACCTCATTGAGCTATAAGTCATATAGTATTGGAGGACATTTATAATTTTTCTCGTATTTGCATTTGTTAATAATACGATGTAAACTTTCTATCTGACATACTACTCTTTAATAATCTGGGAGATTTATATCTTTAGTATCAATATCATAGTAGAATTTGAGATTAAGCCTTACTGTAACTGTACTAGAATAAGTATGTCACATAGATAGAGTGAGCAAATTTATAGCTTCAGGAATAGTAAGATGCTCTAAAATATAAGTCTTTTCCATTTCCCAAGGTGATCCTACATATACATCATCCTCCTCAGGTAAAGGTTTTACATATCGCTCCTCATATACTTCTGTTGTAGTAAGGAGGGAGTCATATTTAGCCCAAGCTGGTATTTCTAAGAAGGGTTTTGGGAACTTTGGACCCTTTATTTTATGAGAAATTGGTGAAGAAATATTATTTTTATTTTTTTGCTGGATTTTTTCCGCGATAGATGGGTCATTAAAAATTTTTCCAGGTTCATCTCTATTTTACTGGAAGCATTTCACAATGAATATTCCATCATAACATGTATGACCGAACTACTGCTGATCCTTATCATATGTGCATTCACAAATCAGATATTCTAGATATGCTTTCTGATTAAAGTATATATACTATTGAGAATCTTTTTTTTGATATCCCAACTTCCAAGATATTCAGAATACTTCTGCAAAACTAGATTTGCATATTTTTTTAACACATCATGACTCACAATTATTTTTTTCTGATTATTTATTTTTTCTATACAAAGTATACAGGACCTTACTTCATATCTCGAACTAGTAGGTGATTAAACTCTGATGTTATTGAAATCATTCTACCCATTATCTAGTGAATATTGGAGAATGCACTTTACGTGATCTTTTTTTGCTGAACTTATTAAGCGGAGACAGAAATTTCGACCAGGTAATTCTCTATCAATAAACTTTCTATATTTTTTTCCAGTTAATCTGTATACTAATTCTGTAAATTCTTTTAGCTTTAGATAATCAACAAGAAGAGCTAGGATGTATAGAATGTGATAACTGCATTTATTATCATTAGATAATATTATAATTACCAACCCTTTAATAATTTCTTTCCAACTATAATCAAGAATTCGATACAATGCTCTTACAAATGCACAATAAATGCTGAAAAACACATTTTTAGTATTAATATTTTCAGCTTCTATTTTTTCTTTAGATGCGTCAATATCAATCACAGCTCTTAAAGGCCATTCTCCGTTAATATATTCATGAATTCCAGATAATCCATATATCTCAGATATGTCATCTATGACAGAAAACTTTGGTGTTTGGTTATCTTTTTGGTTAATTTGAATAATCAATCTATTAGTTAATTCATCTCTTTTATACATATTGAGCAAACTAATTCCACTCTTTACTTCATGATTAGACAAGAGATAGTCTCATAAATGTAAATCTTCTAGTGAACTTTTTTTATCTGTCATATCTCTGGCAGGTAAAGAAATGATTTTACAGATTTTATTCATCACATCTTTTTGTGTAAATTTATCATCGAATCTTTCTTGCCTTTTAAAATATGTAACTTCTACTCGATCTATGGAATATGTCGAATTAGATATTTGTTTTTCTATATTAGGGGGTTGGATGACTGGATATTTAATAGTAGTCTCAGTATCTGATTCATATTCAGAGCTATAATCACTGCAATTTTCTAATTCACATTCAGATATATTATCGCTATATTTATCTGAGTCACTTGAATAGTCATCAGTTTTTCTACCTCTGTACCAGATCACTTGTGTGCTTTATTTACTCATTTTTGGTATTTGGTTTTTTTATTGGTATGTATTAATCTTTATTTGATTATATTATTACAAAATAGTTTGAAAAAGTTTAAATTATTTTTTTCATGCCTGGTAAGAGATGTTAAAAAAAATGCATCAAGTTTTAGTAAGATAAATAAAGAGAATTGTGATCTTGATTAGTGAATATTTTAGATATATAAGTTTAGTAATATATTATAAGAATTATGGAAGTTATATACCCATTTTAATGTGATGATAACTAGTATTATATCTAAATACTTGAAGAGTGGAAAACTGTATCACTGCGGAATTGTCTGCCATCAAAAAATCACGGTGAAACTCAAGTGCTAATACCGAATTGCTACAAAAAATCAACGATCTCAACCACAATATAAGCCTAATGGGCTATGAAGTTCGTAATATTGAAAATGGTGTTGGTAGTTACGTCAGTAATTCTGGCTCTCAACAGTCTAGGTCTAATAGAACATCTCAAGATTATACCAGCGATATTCAAACTCTATGGCAAGATTTCGATTGCCTATTCAAAGAAAAACGTTGACTAGAAAAACACACTGAATCATCAATGTATTTCAAAATATCAGAAGAAATTAGAGAGTTAGGGGAACACCTTGGAGATGCTACTATAAGGAAATTCCACAAGCGTCTTACTAGAAATCTGACAGAAGAAACTATAGAATATATTAGATTATGGGTAGATAATGAGAGGGAATTAGATACAGAGGTAGAAGAGGAGGAGAATAGTGATAGTGCTAGACCTAGCGGGATGAGAGAATAGGGATCCACATTATAATGCTTTGGGATAGTGGATTCCCTCCCATGCAGTCGTGCTAGATCCCAGCAATTTTTTATCTTGTATTTAGGCATTTTGACGAGAATTTATTAAGTAAAACATTAAGCTTGATTTATTGAAGGTTGAAGATTGAAATAGGTTATTGAGAAAAACAAGTAATTACTAACAATATTTCGCAGTTCTCACTGCTAACCTCCCAATCATCGAAGATAACTATTCAAAATAATAAAATTCAGTAATAGTTCTATCAGACTCAACGCTCCATACCAGCTGGATAATGTCATATGCATCCAAATTCTTCCCAAGTGATCATAACAGAGTAATCATAGCATCCCAATCAAATACTCAACCATAATAATCAAGAAAAAGTAATCCATTTTCATATTCCCTGATGATGATGATGTGATCAAAGCCATACTTTTTAATAGACTCCAAATATCTATTAACACTTGATTCTTTGTTTATGAGCTTATACCAAACAGATTTTGCAATACGGTAGGCGTCAGATTCATTCTTGATCTTTTTCACTAGCATGAGCGAATTCTTGCGACGCCCATGAAGTTCATCCTGTCTGCTATCTTCTGACACTTGATGCACGGGAACTTGGACTCTATCTCGGGTAAAGATATTGTTCAGCTGTATAAAACAACACGGTGCCATCGGCTCCTCAGTTGTCCAGTCAGTGCATGCCAAGGTACCAATTCGGAACAGTTGCCCCAAGGATGACGACATTCTGTCGATTGTTCCTTTGTTAGAACAACTTTTTTGCGATACTACTTTAATATCGGTATCGTTTCCACTCTTGATTCTAATACCTGCTTATTGCTGTTGGCTGATATCATGTTCAGTAATATTTTTGGACTGCGGATGGATACCCCGAACATGTAATGATTTATCATCTTTCTTTTATATGATTTTTTCCCCTTTTTTTTTCATTTTCTTGGACTTTTTCTTCACCATTTTTTCTTCTTTTTCAGAGTTAAAAATGTGAGATTTATTGTTCTTGGATGTGCATCTCGATTCAGTTCCATTATCACCATCTTGTTTCCCAACAATTTTAGCATCCTGACCAGATAAATCCATGTCATTTTGCTCTTTTTAATATGCCATCCCCACAGTAGGGCTATAACATCCCAATATGTATTTATGGGGATCAGGTAAAAACCAGGTAGAGTCACCAACTTGCCCGTGGCCAGGATAACTATTCCCTGAATTCTATATAAAAGACTTTGTTTAATACAATCAATATGTTGGAGGATTTTTTTCTGTGCAAAAACAGATCTGAAAGGTACTATGAACTCTGTTATTAGTTCTCTACCATGGTTTTTGCAAGGTGTCCAACCAAGTGTACGGGCTTGAAATAAATGGTAAATGAAGTGCTTGAAACAAGTCAGCCTACTTTATTTAGTGCACGACAATCTACTTTTGGTTATTTCAGCTCCTGGCCATGATCAGGAGAAAAGGAAGATAGTTACACAAATGATATATTTAGATGATCGGTCTATGTAATGATGACACATTTGTGTCAGATCAGTCATTTATCAAACAAGTAAAGTATTCATAATACATGTGACACTCTTAAAATGGAGATATTGGCTTAGAATCATATGAATACACTCTGCATATTTAAATATCTTATAATATACAAGTTCTTTAATTTTTGCTCATTCAATATACTATGCGAGTTGCTAGATAGGTAATAATTTAAACAAATCTGCACCTTATATAAAAGTTATCAAGAAACATAACATCAGAGCTTGAATTTCAATTCAAAATTAATTCATTGCAAGAATTAAATTTGAAGCTTTTAGCCGAGATTACTGAACTTAGAAAGGAGAATGCTAAGATCAAGACCAAGAATACAAAATTGAAACAAGCTATAGAAGCAAATACTGAGCTCAAGACCAGATTCGAGGAGCTAGAAAAGAAAAATAAAACAGACACCAGTAATCTCATTGCTGAAAATGCTGAGCTCAGAGACAGAGTCACGAAATTAGAACAGAAGCAGACACAAAGTGATAGCGTACACATATTAGAAGATTTTATTCTCCACGAAGCATCATCTGATATTTCTTCTAATATTCATATATACTCATCTGAGCCTAAATCGTTAGAAAATAAAGAGATCGATGAATTTCTGGATTTTAAAAGTAAGGAAAGAGTTAGTAGTGAGATAAAACAACGCAATAAGGAGAAGAAGCTTCGAGATCAAGACCTATCTTTGGTTAGCCATAAGAAAAAGGGAACAGATAAACTCCAGCAAGAATTATTCAATACTTCTTTAGAGCCAAGTTCACAAGATCACTCTATATCAAAAAATATTAAACCAGGACAGATCGGAATTTCCAAGACGGCCCATCCTGAAAAATTTGAGGGCATGAATGGTTCTACAAAGTGTATTATTAATTCATTTGACATTAATGAGGTATCACAACATTTAGCTCAGTTGTGCGATACAGCCATAGGTGCAGAAGATTGAGCTTCGAAGGCTAATCAGGAAGAAATCATGTGCTGGTCTCTTTATGGTAGGGATTTTGAATTTCAAGTTGGTGAAATGAGTAGTAAAAATAAAATTGGCGAGAAAAAAGCAAGAACCTTAATTTATAATGAAATTAAAAATCAACTTTGTATTCTCTGTAAAAAACGATCACAAGATTTGGGCTTACAAGTTCAAAATATATCATGAGATACCTTGCACAAAAAAACTCAAAGAGCTGTAAAAATTTATAAGTTATTCGAAAAGATAGATTTAGATAAAATTAAACATATTAAAAACTATAGTGCAAATTCTATCTCGGAACTTACTAATGATCAAATTCAAGAGATTATTAATCATGATTCAGAGAGCCAAATTTCTAATTCTCCTTTGCTTGAAATCACACCTGAAGTATCTTCTGAAGATAATATAATTGAAATTTCTGGGACGGTCTATCTCGAAAAGACTTTATTAGAAACCAAAATAAATGTATCATCTGCATCACGATCCAAGAAAGATTTACCAAAAGCAGAGGTAAATATACTATTCAAATCTCAAACTGAATCAAAGACCTTACCTGAAGAATAGAATAATCTGGCCCATGACCGTGCTATTTTTCGCAATAAAGTATTGGAACAATATCCTGATCTATATTATGAATTCAGTAGTGAAAATGTTGATTATTATGGTGAAACATTATGCCCATTATGCAATTTAGACCACGATGATGAAGAAGACATAGAAGGCAAATATGAAACTGAGGAATCAGAGATTTGATGCTTTGCATTATCATACTATATTAAATGTGAACAGCGTGAAATTCAAATTACTGCATAAATCCCGCCAATTTATTACTCTCATTATTAGTAGAGTGTATATATAGTATTGCAATTAATGTATACTTGGAGATACATTAAAAACTCGTCAACTCTACACATAACATGAAAGGTATAGTCTCATTACTCCGAAATACTTGTGAGTGGTCAGGAAATAATATTTTTTAGTATATGACATCAAATGTGAGAAATTAAATTGCTTTGAAATTATATAAATGGTAACATGGATGCACAAGCCAAGTCTGATAAGGTATTATTAACTCCCAAATATCTGAATTGGTATTCAAAATTAACTGATTTACCAACCACTATATCTGATAAACTTCATTCCAAGTTATATAAAATATATAAGAAAAAAACAGGACTCGATCCCTGGATAAAGTCTGAAACTTCTGAATCCCCACAAAGTGAAAATGCTGATAATCACATCATACAAGATAGTTCTTTGGAAACTCAGGTAATGGCGTCAAACAAAAATCACCTTTATCAGTATACCATCGAACATGGAATAAATCCCAAAGAATTTTCAATCATTACAGAGGCTGAGAAAAATAGGTGGGCCATGGGATGTTTTCGTGGGGATTTGAAAAGAGATATACGCTTCTATCGTGGTGGAATAGAAAGAAAAGAAGACCCTAGAAAATATTGTAAATTTTTAATAGATCAGGATAGGCTAATCGGAGAAGAGTTATTACGTCACAGTATATTAAAGAGTGGTTTAAGTACTATATGGCTAGATGATCTGATGAAAGAATGGGAAGAAATCCATACTTAATTCGTACAAATTTTTAGCCAGACATAGTGAGATCCAGAGGTCTCTTGTGTATTTCTGGTCATCCCTATAGTCCAGTTACACAATTATGCATATTTCACAAGACACGGAGTGTCATTTCTTGGAAATACTTCTATATTGATCCTACCCATGATGTGATTGGTTGATAAATTAATAGTTTTTTAATTATGTATTAAAGATACTAGCTCCACTATTCTAATTAGAGGGATCACTACTCTGGAATGTGGACACAGTTGACATGCTTTTTTTTACGATATTTTTGAATAGAAGAAACAACCTTTTTCTTTTTAACATGAACATGATTCTTTCAGAAATTTATCTGATCGAGATCATACCAGTCTGAATCTGTGGATTCTGAATCAGAGCTGAATGATTTAGAAGGATCTGTCTCAGATTTTATCCATGGTAGCTTTGCTTTATTTATATAACTTAGTTCATACTCAATAATATGAAGTTTTTCAAAAACTTCATACTCTATATCATTTTCTATAGAATGAACTGACTTTCAAATATTATTGAGGTGTGTTTTTATTGAAAGCTTTCCATCCCCATCACTTAAATCTATTTTAGGATATTTCTTAATCTTATCAGCTCCGCTATTTTTGAAAACATTATCATTTAATCTTCTGGGTGTTGGAGGTACAGGAGGTATATTGTGAAATATTTTGTGATGGCTCTTTTGATGTTTAATATCTTGAGCACCTGAGAGAATTTTGTTAATTATATTTATAACCTCCTCTTGAGCTAGATCAGGTTTAGATTCTATTGATTTAGATAAGTTATTTTTAGTGGAGCTGGCTTTATGGCTTGAAGAGTCATCTGTAGGTCTGCTATCTTCTTCGATTAATGGGATACTCATATCATCTATCTCAATTTTAGCATAGCACTTACAATTTTCTAGAGAAAATCCAAAGCTAATTTTTACTTCACGTATCTATAACCAATCCTGTTCTAGCACCAAATCAAATGATGAATTTTTGCAAATTTGAAAATTTATTACTTCAGTACCATCTAAGCTTCACTACTTTTCTTTATACTGAAATTACAAATCTAAGCATTTTATTTCTTTGGCTATCAAATCATTACCGGATATACCTTCTAACTCATAATCTTCTTCAAGTTTATTATACAAGCACTTGCTAATAGTATTGAATTTAGATATTATATCAATTAATGCTTTTACTAGAATTTTTCCCTCTATGATTATTTTTATGAAAACTATATCAAATATTATTTAATGATATATATTATAATTGAAAAAAAATAAATTGGTAAATAATTACCCATTCTCTACTACTACATAAAATTATTTGTAAATCATGAATGATTAAGATTAATCCTGTCAATTTCTCTGATACAATTACTGAGTGCAAAAATAAGATCTATTTCATCTAATAATGTACTGGTGAACATTGGAATAGGTAGATCAGAATCAAATCATTTTTTATCTGAATAATTAGGATATTCAATTTTAATTTTAGGATTAAGTTTTTTCATCACTTCTTCA